ATTCTGAAAGCACTGGATACTGAAGCCAGATTGAGAACGATGTGAATTAAGTACTGCAGCCTTAGTCTGTAAAAATGAATCCTAAAGAGTCTCTCATGTTAGGCGTTACAATACTTTGACTAAACAGTTATACTCGTAGACTTTCATGCAGCTAAAAGCAACGCACAGTGTCTAAATTATACTATTGTTTCTAAATGTTTTTTAAACTTGAGTCATCTTTGTTGGAGCAGCCTAGTAAGTGGTAATTTAATTACCTTCTCCTACTTTATAATGAGAAACTACAGGATCCATTTTGCTCTGCATACATGCACCTGGAAAAAAACAACCCTGTACAATTCAAGTCCACGAAGTGCTTCTTTTCTTATTACAAAGCTAAGAGAACCACAAAGCTGTTTGTGATTTATATTGGTGTTTACTCCTATAACCTGAAGTTTAGTGTTTTAATTCCCAGTAGAGGAGACCAACCTGTTAAGAAAAATAGCAATTTTTAGAATGCAAGTTTAAAAGATGTATTATATATGGTAAGTAATTTGAATCAAATCATGCTGCAGTAATAAGCAACATTACTTGGGTCAGAACAAACTCCAGTTATACACAGTAAATACTTCATCCTGCTGTAGGAAAGATGGCCAAACCTTAAAGACTGAGTAAATCTAATGAAGCGACTATGCCACCAGGAAACCAAGCCTTGGAAAGCATCACTGTTGAACTGTGGCCACTGCTCAGAGTCTGACATATATGTTGTTTGGGTATTCTCTGGAACACAATTTCCTTTTTCCACTTCAACTTTCCATGACAATCCAGTATATCTATCACTAGATAAAACAATCATAGGTTCACTTACTTATGCAAGTCTCACAAAATTCTGAGACTGATTTCCAAATTAGCACAGAAGAGTCACAATTTCATCAGCTATATAAAAACAATTTAGAATCCTTCAGCCATATGTAAGATGCTTTAATTGATTTATTTGCCCATCAGCTTTATCATACCAGATTTGTACCATGTATCACACAGTTAGCCAAAGTAAATTTCCCTAGAATGCTTTGCTTTTGCCACATGCAACTAAAAAGTTCTACTGAACTCATAGTGAATGTGTAAACATGAACAGAATGAGGCTGTCAAGGCAGTTTCATTATGGCTCATGCATCAAGTTGCAGTTTCAGGTGCTTAAATGGTACATTTGAAAGAAAAGACACAAAAAAGCATTCTATAGCAGTGTTGGTAAGATGCAGTTCAAGAGAAAACTGAACAGTTATCCATAGTGCAAGAAACTTTATATTTTATGATTAAGTTGAAGTTCAAAGCCAAGCAATGCTTTATAAATTAGAAGTTGCCATAAAAGGTATAGACTACAATTTAAATGGTAAAGAGATGCAAGAGACATTAAATATAACATACACACAGAAGCAAGGAATAAGAGACCAAAAGAAATACCATTATTGTAGGCATACAGAGGGAAAAGGAGAGAAAAGTCTGTTAACAATGATATTCTAAAAATAAAAGAGACTTTGAAACTTGTATTTGTGAGTATGTTAGTGCTGAGAGCCGAAAATGAAGGGACAACACGTGAAGATGAACATTCTCTTTGGAAACTGGAAACCTGAGACTCTCTTAAAATTCTAACAGCTGTAATCTATATTAAAGCAACAACCTCACTTCTGATTGATCATACATAGCATTGGACTATATTCTTTGGAAGCTGTGGCACAAGGTTCCACTGAAAGGATTTATTTCCAGCTAGATACAAGTAAGATTTCACTTGCATACTTTAAATCCCTTTAAACTCACCAGTCCTTATCTCATATGAAGCGGCTTTTATTGAGTCAGACTCTTAGTTCATTTAGCCCAGTACTGTCTGCTCTGATACAATAGCTTTCCAAGGTCTGTTGTCTACTTCCAAGCTTAGGAGTCGGATGTAAGGTAGCTGTTGTACTGTATTTCTTTCATAATCACACCCTCTCAACCTTTGAAAGAGCAATTTTCACTGACTTCAAGACCACCATTTTAAATATGTCAAGTCAAGTCTATTAATACGGTCAAGTTTTAGTAAGCCTTTCCTTTACAAAGTGCAAATAACTTGGTAAACAAAGAAAGATGGCCTTCTGTAAAGTAATACCACTAGAACACACTCTGAGGGTTACATTTATGCTGGCCTGTTACAATATGCAGTTAATCATCCAAAATACACTCAACTGCACCTTCAGGTTTCATGCTCCTGATTCCATAACCTGTGGAAAGCTCTAGGGTAGATAGAATAACCTGGAGGACAGTATGAAAATCCAAGAAGTGCAAGATGATAATAGTTTCCTCAACATTGGCCTGACTATCCAGATCACTTGTAAATCATAGAAACCTTCCTGCGTTCCATGCAAATATGCATAAAAGATGACCAAAAGAGCCATTTAGAAAGATGCAGACATAAACAGGTGAGCTGCTGCCAGGCAACACCTGGGGGGACCTCCTGTCAGTCACTTGATAGACTTAAGAATGCGCTACCTCTGTTACAATTCACAGTCAACACACCACGGATACTGTATGACTCTGTTGCTTTACCCCTCACCCACTCTGTTTGTGCTTGCTACAAATAGAGCAACATCAATGATAGTGTTACAATGCATGCAAAGTATCTAATTGTATAGACAATGCTGTTTCTCTGAAAGTGATGATTACGTATGAAGAACAAAACATTACAGAAGCCTCTCAGTACAGAGGATATACCCTCAGAACACTGTGTGACACATTCCTGAGGTAGTGCTTGGGTTCGCAGTCTGCTGCATATAAAATTGTATGTTGATCAAAGGATTAAATACTAAACATCAGAAAAAGAACAACAGGCATGATGGTTTGCATCACTGCCACCTTGAAGATAGGCTGAATGTTTCAGCCTTCAGTCCATTTCACAAACAATTTGTAATAAGGCTACGGAATCATTTTGTCCTCATTGCACAAGAATGAAGAATAGGTAATACACCAAAGATCCGTGAAATCATACCCTGGTAATTACAAGCCTGATGTGTCATCTAAATAGACACCGATAACAGTAGCTGCTTTGCTCTTAAAAGTAATTAGATGATTTGCTGAGAGAATCATACCTGTAACATGGGTAACCTAGTGTGGAGATCCAAACAGCCTGATCTAGTCACATTCTAAACAAAACAGAACTTTAAAACCTGATCAGGGAGACATACTACCAGGGTGCGTTCCATGAAGATACTTTCAAGAGGGTAGCTGTGTCGATCTGCAACAGAAGAGCACCATTCAAGTCCAGAAACACCTTAAAAAGCAAGACTTCCAGGGTGTAAAGCGTAGGTGTATCAAACCTCCCCCTCCTCAGATATCTGACCAAGGGAGCTTTGACTCTTGAAAGCTTATATCCTGGAGATCTTGTTGGTCTTTAATGTGCTGCTGGACTCAAATCTTGCTAGAGGTGGACATAACAGGCCACTACTGCTGCATGTAGCAATCAGAATATTTTAATTAGAACTATTATTACTACAATGAAATCTGGAAGTCTCTTCTTTAGAATCAGAGAGCAAAGGACTCTGCAATAAATGTCCCTGAATCACACAAACTTTATGCACATCACACTGAGCACCAACCTTTCACCAGCAATCAGTTCTATATAAGGCAAACAGATGCCCATATTCCAGGTTTTCATCCAAGCTATATGCCCTACTAGCTCATTTTTTAAAAAAAGTTCTCCTAAATGTACTGCTTAACAGTGTAAATAGTACTTTGATATATTAGTTCACTGGTTGCATGGAATACAACATAGCAAACAAAGCAGAAATCTTTCACCTTCATGTCAGTGTTGTAGACCACTTCACTTGCTATACAAGGAAACTCATAGCAATTAAGTTGCAACAATTTTACAGATAAGACTCTTCATCACTGCATATGCATTATATTCTACATGCTCATTTTATAAGTTTTACACCGATGAGCTTTGCATGTAGAAATCATTACTCACCATAAAGTTCCTTCTCTACACTTACAAGTTTTTAAAAGTTTACCAAGACTCCATGGAACCAAGTCCATTCTATCCTCAATAAAGTATAACATTTAAATAAATGGTATAAAGATCATCCCTCTATCAAAATCCAGTTACAGCAGTGAGCGCACTTCCTATTTTCTTCAGCACAGAGAAATACTGTTAATGTAAAAAGAACTTCCAAGAACTCAGAGAAAGTAACCTACACTGAACATTACAACTGGGTGTGCTTAACAGGGGACCACTGACCTAATGAAAGCTAAAAGATCCAGCAATGATTAAGCTATTTTATGGCAATTGTTTCAAAGTACAAAAATGCAACAGCTAACTTTACAAGGCTGGTCATTCAACTTGAAAAGTTAGTAGTAGTCGTATTTCACTTACATAGTTAACAAATATCAGTATGGTTTGGTTCCAGTATGCTTTCAGCATCGGAGTGGATAGGGGAACTTGCTCTGGGGGAGAATAATACCTTCTGGCAGAAAATGCAGAAACATTTTGCTGGCAAAATTTTTAAAAACTATTTCCCCACCCTTGCAGTGCCTGCTTCTGTATTTCGAGAGAGCAGGAACACCATCCTCCCTCTGATCTTTTCCTGAATTGTGGCTCTCCAAAGGAACACGTAGGGAGGCAGAACTCCCGTCATTTATCTTCACACTTCAGTCCTGCAGAAAGCTCTAGGATAGGGGTGGGTCATTCCGCTTTTTAAAAATCAGTCCACCGCTGCAGAGACTCGGCGCCAGAAGTGCAAAGCCATGTGTGTAGTGACACGTGTCCTTATCTCTTCCTTGAAAAGAAGTTTCCGCTACTTGTCAAACACGGCCCTAACTACATTTATAGAGCCGCTTCCAAGAAAGGCAGCGGCGAAAAGAACCGCAGAGAGGAATACGGGATCGTGAAGGTCACGGGAGGAGTTGGGCAGGTGATACAAGTGAAGACACAAAACGCAGAGGGAGGAAAAGACATTAAAGCGACCGGGCGGCGAAGGAAAGTGAGCGTCACCAACCTCTTTGACCTTCGCTCGTCGCTGCCGGACCAGCGGGTCTGCCGGCTCCTTTCCCACGGCTCCGACGGGCTTGCGGAAAGGCAGGTCAGGCAGCTCGGCAGCCCCCGCCTCCCCCCGGCCCGGCCTGTTCTGAAGGAAGTTGCTTTTGTCCTGGTTTATGTCCCTGCGGATCTCGTCGGGCAGCTTCTGGAGGGTCTCCTTGGCCTCCCGCAGAGCCCGCTCGTGGTCCTCGCGGATCCTGGCCAAGTTCTCCGCCGCGTCCCCTTCAGCAGCAGCGCCTCCTCCATAGCTGCTGCTGCTCCCTGCTCCGGGCGGCGGCGGGGCGTGCGGCTCCCCCTGGGCAGGCGGCGGCGGCTGTTGCCGGAGCTTGGAGGAGTGGAAGAAGACCCCGCTGAGCAGCTTGGAGGAATCCGGCAGGAAGAAGATGGCCCCGAAGCAGAGCGTGATGAAGGCGCTGAAGACCAGCAGCAGCACGAACTTCTCCGTCAGCCGGAAGGCTCCGCTGGGGCCGGACACCTTCCGCACCCCCGCGCCCACCAGAGCGCCTCCCCCTAAAGAGGCGCCCGAAGCGCCCGGCCCGGCGGGGCTGCTGAAGAGCGGCAACAGGCTGCCCGCCGGCATGGCTCAGCGCCCCCTGCTGCGGGGCCTCGCCGGCCACGGGGCAGCAGCAGCAGCGGCGGCGGGGCGGCCCGG